TCTTCTTCTTCTTCTTCTTCTTCTTCTTCTTCTTCTTCTTCTTCTTCTTCTTCTTCTTCTTCTTCTTCTTCTTCTTCTTCCTTCTTCCTTCTTTCTTCTTCTTCCTTCTTCCTTCTTCCTTCTTCCTCCTCCTCCTCCTCCTCCTCTACATCTTTGAAGAAAACAGCTGAAATGAAACTTATATCCGGGATCTTCGTTAGAATTTTATTGTTTATTTGCTTATGTACTTTATTGTTTATTTGCTTAGAACTTTATGGTTTATTTGTGTTGGGTGATAGTGAGATATTGAAAAAATGGTATTTAGCAGAGATAATATAGCCCAGCAGAGCCTGAGTAAAATAATTCAGACTGAGTGCCAGAGTAAAATAATTCAGACTCAAGAGTCCACGTGTGATTACAGTATAAAGTTTAAATAATAACAGAGCATATAATCGGCTACATCCTTACTCTACAAAGACAAAACTAGAAGAAAAGCGATTATGGCTACTCTTACTTCTTCTTGAGAACACCAAACAAAGACGGGAAGAGAAGCCATAAAATGGTAATACACTGTGACACTTTAGTCCCAATCAAATGCCTAGATCAGGGAGAAAATTCCCGGGCATTCCACATCTAAAGAACATTGGTTACATGAGAAACATGTGACTTCCTGTGAGTAACATAAACAAACATTTAACCCCAGACATACTGAGTGTTTTCAACTTGTAATACCCAACAATTTGCTTCAACTTAGTACTTAATTGTTCATCTGCCTCTACTTAGTCTAATTGTATTTCGTGCTGAATTCTATTGTACTGTACACTTTTCCTTATATTCTATATAATTATATTTATTTAGACAATTGTCACTTTTAGCGTTTAATCATTCACAGCTTTTGTCATAGTTGAAATAAGGAAAAGGGCATATCTCCACAAGGAACAGGCATGGAGACTTACCTTTTTATTAAATGAAAGGGCCGTACTTTAAAAAAAAAAAAAAAGCATTGAAAAGGAAACAGCTCGTCTTCAGGGCCGGGGGGGGGAGGGGGAGAGGGAGTGGTTTGATAATGATGGCAGTCCAATGATTGAAAAGTGGATTGGAGGTGGGTAGGAGTGGGTGGAGCAAAGAAAACTGACATAAACATTATGCAGAAGGAAAAAGCCACTCAGATCTGTCTTCCAGAAAAAGAGCAGGGGAAAAAGTGTTCTCAAAAGAAGGGTGGGGGGAGTGGGGGAGGGGAAACAAAAAACCCCTGAAGTGATAACTAAAGGCACAAAAATGCATGTGGAAATCAGGGGATAAAGCAGAGAGCCAGTTTGGTGTAGTGGTTCAGTGCGCAGACTCTAATCTGAGACAACCAGGTTTGATTCCCCACTCCTCCACTTGCAACTGCTGGATGACCTTGGGCAAGCCATAGCTCTGTCAGAGCTGTTCTCTCAAGGACAGCTCTGGAAAGAGCTCTCTCGGCCCCACCGACCTCACAGGGTGTCTGTTGTGGGAAGCCGGAGGGGAAGGAGTTTATAAACTGCTCTGAGACTCCACGTGAAGGGCGGGTTATAAAGCCAATCTCCTCCTCCTCCTCCTTCAGTATGGGGGCCAGAATGGATGGGGGGAAAATATGCGGAAAAGCCCAGGGAGTGACTGTCTGACTGGGGAATTCAAAGTCACGTCTCCCAGTTCCTAGTCCACTAACCACTGCCCCATGCCGGCTCTGCCCTTCTCATCTCTTCTTTTGCTAGCTGACCAGGTGTTTGAGGAGGCAGGAGACCAGGATCTTCTAAGGGCCTCATCGGTCCCGCTGTCTCTCCTCTTTGTGTTGTTCCAGAACCTTACGGAGCTAGATACCAAGATTCAGGAGAAGGCCATGAAAGTGGACATGGACATCTGCCGGCGCATCGACATCACAGCCAAACTGTGCGACGTGGCCCAGCAGCGTAACTGCGAGGACATGATCAAGATGTTTCAGGTGAGAGGCGCCCGACTCCCTTCCCGTCTTTAAGGAAGGGAGACGCCAAAGGGGACCCGCGTTGCCCCTTTTCTGAGAGAAAGCACCCTGTCATTCTAACCCTCATTTCATGAATTCACCTCGGTCGCGCGGGAGAAAGTGGCAGGCAGTTTGAGGGCGGTCCACTCTGCAGTCTCAGTGGGGGCTCGGGGGACCCCCCCCCCCAAGAGTGTGTCTTCAGCCTGAATTTGGAGGGTCCTGTCAGGGGAACACGTGATGGAGAGGGAGACGGTGCCCTAGTACGTGTGCCTTTCTAACACCGTCTCTCTCTTCTCCCCCCATCCCCTTTTCTCTCTCTCTCTCTCTTTCTCTGTCTGATTCACTCACTCAACTTCTTCTCACGGCCTCTCTCTCTCTCTCCCTCTCTCTCTCACTCTTCTTTCTCTTGCTTCCCCCATAGAAGCAGTTGGTTAGTTTTTTTTGTCATTGAGCTGGGGGAAAAAAAATCGTGTGAGCTAGAAGCTTTTTTTTGTAAAATAAAGTTTAATCTGTGACTCCGGGCAATCTTTCTCTCCCTCGACTTTTGAAGACCTCTGTCTTGCTCTGTCCTCTGATGCCTCCATCTCTGTCTCTGGGGTTGTGATTTGAGCTCCCTTAACTGTGAACCCTCATCAGATTCCATTTTCAGTTGCTTAGCCTTTTTATTTTTTAAAACAGACGTTTCTAAAAAAATTGCATTTGAGCCACCGCACCATCTATAACCTGGTCATAATAAACCCGGCTCTCTCTCTCTCTTCTCTCTCTCTCCTCTCTCTCTCTCCTCTCCCCTCTCTCTTCTTTCTGTCTCGATCTTCCTCTCACCCCCCCATGCCATTCCACCCCCCCACCTCTCTTCTCACCCACCCACCTCCAACCCCCAACCCCCAACCCAACCTCGTTCTGTAGTCTCTGCACTTATCTCCCATTAAGGTCCCAGCTACGGTGGGCCGGAAGCGGGACCGGAAGCTGGTCAGCGACGAAGAGACCTCCCTGTCGGAGAGCGAGTCCTCCAAGAAGCCCGAGGAGGAGGAGGAAGACGAGACCACGGCCATGAGCATCAACGAAGAGATGCAAAGGATGCTGAACCAGCTGTGAGTCTCGCCCGCCGCGGGCTGCTGGTGGAGACCAGGGGGCACTGTTGACTCATGGTGCTAGCCTAGCTGGGCAGGATACCCTTAGGCTAGGGTTGCCAGCCTCCTGGTGGGGCCCGGTGGTCTCCTGCAATTATGGCTCATCTCCAGACTGTAGAGTTCTGTTCCCCTGGAGAAACGCTAGATTTGAGTCCTGTAGTGCTGCGGTGGCTCAAGTGGTTAAGACGCTGAACTGCAGGCTGTGGAAAGTCAGTAGTTCAGCGGTTCAAGACCCGAGTGTGCTGCATGACGGGGTGAGTTCCCATCTCTAGTTCCAGCTCCTGCCAACCTAGCAGAGTTAGTGTGAGCTAGCTCACAGTTTTTTAGCCTCCGGCTCACACATTTTTGTCTTCGCTCAGGAAGGAGGGCTTCAGAGCAAACCAATTTATGCAGTAGCCAAATCGCTCGCTCACAGCCAGTCGCTCACAAAGTAGAATTTTTGCTCACAAGACTCCACAGCTTAGAGGGAACATTACTTAGGGGCAATGTTCCCTCTAAGCTGTGGAGTCTTGTGAGCAAACATTCTACTCTGTGAGCTACTGGCATGAAATTTGTGAGCAAGCGATTTGGCTACTGCATAAATTGGTTGGCTCTGGAGTCATCCTTCCCGAGCGAAGACGAAAATCTGTGAGCTGGAGGCTGAAAAACTGTGAGCTAGCTCACAATAACTCAGCTTAGAGGGAACACTGCTTAGGGGGGTATAAGCTTTCGAGAGTCAACGCTCTGTTATTGCCAGTTTGGTGTAGTGGTTAAGTGCGTGGACTCTAATCTGGGAGAACCGGGTTTGATTCCCCACTCCTCCACATGCAGCTGCCGGTGTGACCTTGGGTCAGTCATAAGTTCCTTCAGAGCTGTCCTTGAAAAAGAGCAGTTTCTGCCAGAGCTCTCTCAGCCCCACCTACCTCGCAAGGTGTCTGTTGTGGGGAGGGGGAGGGAAAGGAGCTTGTAAGCTGCTCTGAGACTCCCAAGTGAAGGGAGGGGTATAAATCCAATCTCTTATCTTCCTCGCCTTCTAAAATCTTGGTTTCTAAGTCGCTACTAGACTGAAAACTAGCTGTTCTACTGCAAGGTTTGCCAGCCTTCAGGTGGTGGGGTGGGGGTCCAGGTGACAGAGGTCAGCTCCCATTGGAGACAGAGGAAGCTTCAGAGGGTGAACTTTGTGGCGTCACACCCTGCCGAAGTCGCTCCCTTCACCAAACTTCACCCTTTCCAGGTTCCACCCCTAAATCTCCGGGAATTCCCCAACACAGAGATGGCCACCCTACCTTAGGCCTAGCCTGGCCTCAAAAGCAGGAGCCTTTAGCGACCCCCTCCCTCAGATTTGAATCCAGGTGTGATAAACTTGTAAATAATAGAAGGAATGATCTCGTACGCTGTTTTGTCTAAAGTGCAGCCGACTGCGCAAAAGCAAAGGACCCGTATTAGTCTGCCTTTTGGGGAGGTCCTTTGAAGAAGCAGAGTTCCTTGGACACAGACACCCTCCCCCCAACCCTAGTGTATCCACATACCTTTCAAGGACCATATCAATGAAGCATAAGAACATAAGGGAATATAAGAGAAACTAGTGTTGGATCAGGCCAATGGCCTGTCCAGTCCAACACTCTGTCACACAGTGGCCAAAAATACCAGGTGCCGTCAGGAGGTCCACCAGTGGACCCAGGACGCTAGAAGCCCTCCCACTGTTGCCCCCCTCCACCAAGCACCAAGAATACAGAGCATCCATGGCCCCAGACTGAGAGTCCCTATCTATACCTTGTGGCTAATAGCCACTGATGGACCTCTGCTCCAGATGTTTATCCAATTCCCTCTTGATAAGGACATAAGCCTTGGTGCTCTGTGTTTGGCAACAGTGTGAGGGCTCCTAGTGTCCTGGCCCCACTGCTGGACCTCCTGATGGCACCTGGTATTTTTGGCCACTGTGTGACAGAGTGTTCGACTGGATGGGCCATTGGCCTGATCCAACACTGGCTTCTCTTACGGTCCTGTAAGACTTGTCCTTCAGGCAAAGCCAGTTTTATTACATACCCTAACTGTCTGAGGGGTTCTGTTGGTCCAAGCCCCCTGGACTGGTGGTGCCTGAGAATTTCAAAGATGGCCGTTCTTATTTCCAATAGAGGCAAAAATTAGAGCAGCCGGGAGCTTCTCCCCACAATCTGGCCCACCCCAATATGAAAGGGGCACAGAGCCAATGATCTGTGGCTGACCTCCTGTTCCCTCGTCCCCAGGAGGGAGTACGATTTCGAAGATGACTGTGATAGCCTTACCTGGGAGGAGACGGAAGAGACGCTGCTGCTCTGGGAGGACTTCTCCGGCTACGCCATTGCTGCTGCGGAGGCCCAGGGGGAGGTAACGGGCGGCCTCTGTGTCTTTTGGCTCTCTCTTGCTGCTTCCCCTCATAAGTCCGCATAGGCAACTGCAGGGACTCCTCCACCCTGGCTCCCTGGCCTCCATGTCCACTCTGGCCTGCACGCACGGGCTCTGTGCTGAAAAGAAGAACTAAATAACATTGCAATCCTCAGGCAAGGACAGCCTAGTGATGGCGAACCTTTTAGAGGCCGAGTGCCCAAACTGCGACCCAAAACCCACTTATTGATCGCAAAGTGCCAACACGGCCATTTAACCTGAATACTGAGGTTTGACTTTAGAAAAAACAACTCATACATTAATTTAAGATGATCCAAACAGAGTAAGGAAAGCAATCCCAAATGCTTTCATTTTCTTAAAATTATTTGGCAGAGAATTCGGCACTTTAATGATGGTCTGGGCCTGGCTGGGGCGATGGCACGCGTGCCCACAGAGAGGCCATAGGTTCACCACCACTGGCCTAAATCATACATTGCCTTGATTCGCAGCAATGTATTTTGGCTCTGCTGCTGGTGGGGAGGAGCCCTGAATTTTGGTGAGCATTTGAACCCTGGCCTCTGGCCTCGGAGATGATCTAGTTTAACACGTGTTGGGCTTGTAACAACCTGGGACCCGCAGCAGTCATTCTACCCATCTCCTCTGCAGCAGTGGGGGCAACACGCTTTTTTTTCTTTAAATGTGCAGACTTAAAAGACTGCCTACTGACCTGCCTGAGGCTCAGTGCAGCTGGTTTTTCCAGTCCCAAAACTAGCAGGGAGCTTTTCGAGCCCTTGGTGGGTCACCTCAGGCTTGAGGGGGTGAGAAATGACACCTGCAAAACCTGTGTTTGCAGAGAAGGGCCGGAAAGTAGGTTTTTAAAAATGAAAACACAGATTTTCAGCTAGCAGAATTCCTGTAGACGATGCAGCATTTTCTGACTTCTCTCTGTGCTTGCCTGGAATCCGCTCATCTATGACGTAGCTGCTGGAGGGTTGGTCTTGGACCAGGGAGGCCTGGTGTGAAATCCTGAGCTGGCCCTACCTCACAGGGCCATTGTGATTATCATTGTGGAGCACCTGCGGTTCCTGGGAGCAAAGGCAAGATACAAATGTGTGAGAGAATGGCTGTCTAGTGCATTTTTATCCTGCCCTTCTGCCAAGCGGGAATGTACATGGCTCTCCCCTCCAGCTTTTTCTTCTCACAACAACCCTGTGAGGTCAGTCAGGCCAAGAGAACGCAGTGACTGGCCCAGGGTCACCCAGTGAGCTACATGGCAGGGCAGATTCCAACCTGGATTGGAGGTTCCAGCCAGCTCCCTTGAATGATGCTGGGAAGGCAGCCAAGAGACGGGTCCTGGGCAAACCGGCTTATTCCCCACCGCCGTCCCACCGCCTTCAGGGATCAGTAGTCGCACCTGGAACCTCTGACCCTTCTGGGTCGTCCGCCAGGGCAGCCCTTCATAGAGCACATTGCTTGATTTCATCCCTGTTGTCCATCTTTTCATATGCCCAAATGATAAATAAAGTGGAAAATGGAAAACAGCAGAGCTGGCATGGTGTTAGTGGGGTCAGAGTGTCAGACTGGGGTCTGGGAGACCCGGGTTGAAATCCCCGCTCTGCCACGGAAGCTTGCTGGGTGACCTTGGGCCAGTCACGCCCTTCTCAGCCTGACCTACCTCACAGGGTTGTAGTCTGTGAGGATAAAATGAAGAATCACGTGAGGTACCTTGGGTCCTCGTTGAGGAGAAAGGCGGGGGTGGGTAATAAATGATGTAAATACGGAATTAAAATTTCCAGCCATCAAGGATTTAGTGACCAGTAAGTTTCTGTGGTGTCCCTGAAATCCCCTAGAGCCTCTGAAAGCAGGGAAGGGGCAAAGGGAAACAACAGTGCTTCTAATAGTTTTTAATATGGGGAGTGAAAACAGGCCCATGTGTTGCAAATGAACTGAGGGGAAGTGGCCAACGGGGATATTTATTTATTTCTTTATAATATATCTCCACAGAGCCCCCTGATATATTCGCTGCAGCCCCACTCCTTTGTTTTTATTGCTTCCCTTTTTGTTTTAAACATTCTTTTTTTTGCAAATGCATCCTCTCAGATCGCTTGATCAAGGAGGAAACTAGTTGCGGGAAGAGAAAGGGAGACTTAATTCTTTCCTCTCCTGGTGTTTTCTTGTTGGGAAAAAGCCCCTCCCAGTGTGCTTTTGCTTCTGTTGAGGAACAAAAGTAGCTACCTGTAATTTTTTTCCTCTCTGGTGGGTGTAAAAGTATCTCAGGAATAACAAGAAAATACTAATGGAGGAACAGGTTAAAGGAGGGGTGTCAAAGATATGGCCCACGGGCTGGAAGCGGCCCGTCCAGGGCTCTTACCTGGCCCCAGGGATCATTTTGTAGAAAAAGAAGTGCAGGAGCATATTAGCATAGCTCATTAGCATAACTTATTTGCATATGCCACACCCCCTGACATCACCGGAAGTGTGTCAGAAGGCAACACCCACCGCTCAGGCTCCGCTGGACTGTTTTGGACTGATAGGTATTGGAGGGGGGGGGGACGTGCAGATCTGTCCTCACAGAGGAGGGAGAGCTTGTACCTGAAGGTGGGCCGGGGGAGCTCTGCAACTTACCTGGCTGCTTCTTGCTCCTCGGGGCCCGACTGAGGGCTGCTGGGAGCAGGGGGCGGGGCTTCTTGCATGTGCCTGCCCCAAGGGCTCCTTACTGCCAGAGCTCCGCTCCTGTGTGCTCCCGCAGGAAATAATCCCTGCCTGGCCCACAAGCAACCTTTATTGCCAGATGACTGAGGCTGTGCATTATGTCCCTGTATACTGTCCCAGCACTAATGTGCAATGGGCAGCGAAAGGGAGAGGGCCAGGATCAGGGAGATACTGTCAGGAAATACTGTAAGAATGTTAATGCTTTAAGCTTGCTTGGATTTTGAGTAAAAATAATATTGTTAATTGGGTTTGCCTGTGCCTTTTTTATATCTCCAGTACCTCAGTGTTCCCTGTAAGCTGAGTTCGTGTGAGCTAGCTCACAGTTTTCTAGCCTCCGGCTCTCATGTTTTTGCCTTCGCTCAGGAAGGAGGGCTCCAGAGCAAACTAACTGATGCAGCAGCCAAATTGCTCGCTCACAACTTTCATGCCAGTAGCTCACAAAGCAGAATTTTTGCTCACAAGACTCCACAGCTTAGAGGGAGCATTACATTTTATGGCACACATGGCCCGGCCCAACAAAGCGATGTTTATGTCAGATCTGGCCCTCGCGAAGTACCCCTAATGTAGCCAATCCTCCAAGAGCTTACAGAGCTCTTCTTACAGGGGCTACTGTAAGCTCTTGGAGGATTGGCTAAATTAGGGGGGGGGGGTGTCGCCTAATATGCAAAGGAGTTCCTGCTACAAAAAGAGCCCTGGGTGACTAACAATTCAGTCGCCAGCGGCAGCTCAGCGGTTAAGTCCAGTCCAATATAAGTTTCTGCCAGGAAAGGGTGGAGGATCACCCACATGACAGCTGATACCGCTGCTCCCTGGCACCCAGGTGTTAATAGCGCCATGGAGCAGTTAAAGTCTCCCTTTCTCTCCCCTCCCCATTCGCCTTGCCAATGTAGGACAAAGGGAGCTAGCTACCCCATGGGGTTTTCAAGGCAAGAGACATTCCAAGGTGGTTCGCCATTGCCTACCTCTGCGCCAGGACTTTGATGGTCTCCCTTCCATATATGGACCAGGGCCGACCCTGCTTAGCTTCTGAGATTGGGCTGTCCAGGTCAGGGCTTTCTAAGGTGCTACTGGACCCAAACCTAGCTGTCCTACTGCTAACCAACATGACTACCCCCCTGAAATGATACTCAGTAAAGCAATCTCAAGCAGCGGAATAGATTTTGCAAAAGGAAATGAACCAAACCATGAACGAGGTTTAAACTGGAGTATTCTGTGCTAGCCGGGTATGTCCCTTTTCCTGTCTGACACCGCTAGTTCCTTCCGTAATTTCGTTCCCTGTTCCTGACGGCGGATGCCTGCTCTCTCTCCTGACTCCAGCAGCCGGACGACAGTTTGGAGAAAGTGATCAAGGACACGGAGTCACTCTTCAAGAGCAGGGAGAAAGAATATCAGGAAACCATTGACCAAATAGAGGTGAGAGAAGGGGGGAAAGAAGAGGCAGGGTGGGGGTGGCGGGGCCTGTTTGGGTTCAGGATGCTGAAAGCAGACTCCAGAGTCGCTCGGAACTCTTCCCCAAGTGAAAATATGGGAGGGGAAAGTTACGTTTTGAGGCTGATGTCTAGTATTCTTTTAAAGAGAGGGCAGGGCCACATGGAGGGGGGCAGTTTACAGAGACTATCCTAGTGGTCAAGTGCGCGGACTCTAATCTGGGAGAACCGGGTTTGATTCCCCACTCCTCCACTTGCACCTGGCTGGATGACCTTGGGCAAACCATAGTCCTGATAAGAGCTGTCCTTGAAAAAAGAGCAGTTTCTGTCAGAGCTCTCTCAGCCCCATCGACTGCACAGGGTGTCTGTGGTGGGGAGGGGAAGGGAAAGGAGTTTGTAAGCCAATCTGAGACACCTTTGGGTAGTGAAGGGCGGGGTATAAATCCAATCTCTTCTTCTTCTTCTTTTACCTCACAGGGTGTCTGTTGTGGGGAGGGGAAGGGAAAGGAGTTTGTAAGCCGCTCTGAGACTCCTTTGGGTAGTGAAGGGTGGGGTATAAATCCAATCTCTTCTTCTTCTTTTACCTCACAGGGTGTCTGTTGTGGGGGGGGGGAGGGAAAGGGGATTGGAGTTTGTAAGCTGCTCTGAGACACCTTTGGGTAGTGAAGTGCGGGGTATAAATCCAATCTCTTCTTCTTCTTTTACCTCACAGGGTGTCTGTTGTGGGGGGGGGGAAGGGAAAGGAGATTGTAAGCCGCTCTGAGACACCGTTGTGGAGTGAAGGGCGGGGTATAAATCCAATCTCGTCTTCTCACTGGAAAGAAGATAAGGATGCCAACCTTCAGGTGGGACCTGGGGATCCCCTGGAATTGCAGCTCATCTCCAGATGAAAGAGATCAGTCCCCCTGGAGAAAGTGGATGCTTTGGAGGGTAGCCTCTATGGCATTGTACCCCACTGGGGTCCCTTTGCTCCCTAGGCTCCACCCCCAAATCTCCAGGAGTTTCCCAACCTGGAGCTGGCAACCATACCCCCATTGGTGGCTAGGGCGGGGGGACCTGGCAACTGTAAAGGAAGAGGATACACAGCTTCCCTCTGTCTCTCTCTGTGTGTATATATTCATGTGCGCAGATTCCCAAGGAAACCTGACGCCCAACCTCTTCCCACTTTAAATGCTATATTTGGGCCTTGTGGGAACCTTGTCGGTAGACTGCCGATATAAAAGATAAGGCAAGCCGAACTGTCGCTGCCTTAGTCGAGCTGGAGATAAATTTAGCCAGCTCGCTAAATAAAGAGAGGGAGGCAGGGAGGGGGGGAGCTGCCTGGGCGGAGGAGTGTTGGGGGGGGTTGATGGAAGCCAAGGGAGCCAGCAGCTCTGGCAGCCAGCGGGGTGCCCAAAGATGGGTTGCTCGGGCGAGGGAGGCATTATCGCTCTTGCGGGCTCAGCTGGCAACATGAAGTGATGACCTAAGGAACCGTCAGGAATCTGGGCGGTTTGGGAAAACCCCAGGGAGAAATGAATTGCCCTTTCTTTGGCTATAGGGACGAGATATAGGGGCGAGATCTCCATCTGGGCTCAGTGGTTAAGACGTTGAACTGCAGGCCGGAAGGTCGGTAGCTCAGCGGTTCGAGACCCGAGTGTCGCATGACGGAGTGAGCTCCCGTCCCTGGTCCTAGCTCCTGCCAACCCAGCAGTTCAAAAGCAAGAAATTGCAAGTAGATAAATAGGTACCGCTTCGGTGGGAAGGCAACAGCATTCTGTGCACCTCGGCGTCTAGTCATGCCGGCCACATGACCATGGAAGCGTCTTCGGACAGCGCTGGCTCTTCGGCTTGGAAACGGAGATGAGCACCGCAACCCTAGAGTCGGATTCGACTGGCTTTCGAGCAAGGGAACTCTATCTGGGCGCTCATGTGGTTTCCCCTCTTCCATTCCCTAATAAAGAGAATCAAGAAGGGGGGGGCTACAATGAACAGAACTCTGGAAGAAGTCTCCCACAAGGGATGCCAACTCTGGCTTGGGACATTCCTGGCTGTTTGGGGGCCGTGACTTCTGCGGGAGGGATTTGGGGAGGGAGCTTCATACTGTCCATTCTCGGAAGCTGTTGCTTCCTCCAGGGGAGCTGATCTCTGTACCCTGGAATTCAGTTGTCATTCCAGGGGAACTCCAGACCGGTTGGCACTCCTAGGTCTCTCTCTTGCTTTCCTTCCCTCCCACCCCAGCAAGGTTTTCCCCAATCTGTAGCATCTTCCTTCCTCTCTGTCTGCTCACGTGTCAGACCTCCGCCAGCGGCTTTAAGAGCATAAGAGAAGCCATGTTGGATCAGGCTAATGGCCCATCCAGTCCAACAGTCTGTGTCACACAGCGGCCAGAACCCCAGGTACCATCAGGAGGTCTGCCAGTGGGGCCTGAACTCCCAAAGCCACCCCACTGGTGCACCCTTCCCCCCAAGCACCAAGAATACAGAGCAATACAGAGCTGTGTCCCGATTGTCCATTGGCTAAGACCGCTCCTGCCCTCTTTACAGAAAGTGTGGCCATTCCGTCGTTTGGGACAAATGGCAGGATTTGCTCCCAAGTGGGAAGGGCTGGCAGACCTTCATTGATATGGGGGTAAACAGTAAAGGGATAAAGTAAAATAAAGGGGTGCACTTTGGGGTGCCATAGAGACGGGGCCTCACTCTGCTCCTCGTCCCTGGTCTCCCCGGTTACCCAAAGGCCTTACCTGCTCAGTCCAATCATGGGTCGTGTTGGAGAATGGGGTGGAACCTCAAGAGGTGGCTTTTGTGTATAGTAGAAGGGGAAGAGGGAAGAATGCACAGGGCTGACGATGGCTCCCGGTCCCTTATGCACACTTCTTGGTTCTTTTTTACATGAATACACTGCAGCTATTGATGATTCTGAAGCTCTGCACCCCAAAGTAAGCTTTGGATCACCATGAACACACCCCCACATTCAGGGGACTCTGCTTTATGAGGGGGACTATGCTGCTCCCAGGTCCAGAGCCTAGTTTTTGCACTGACTGTTCCCAAGTGCCCAGGAGAAATGTAGATTAAGTAACGGGTGTGTGTGTGGGGGGAACTGTACCACAACACAAGGTGTGGGCCTACCGAAATCACACACACACACGCATCCCACACACCTACCGGGGACTGTGCTCTCTGCAAGGGGATGTGTCTGGCCCAAACACTGGTTCTGGCACCAAGAGCTCCTATTCGGGGTGCCGCCCAGGAAGCCTCTGCGATGATGTGTTAAGTCGCTCGCTTAACAAAAGTAGTCGGAGAGTGATTCAGCAAAGATTCAGCTTTATTCAGCGACTCAAACACAACTCCAACACGGATCAACATCTGATAGCCAGAACAGCTTTTGCATTGCAGCTGTCCTGCTTTTAAACTCTCCCGGCTAATGTAGCCACGCCTACTGTACAAGTACCAACCAATAAGGTGGTATGCATAAGGACCAATCACGGACGTTCCCGCTCAGGGAGCTTGCTGACAAGTGATTGGTTAGGTACTTCCTGGGCTAGCAATGTGGTTGGATGGATTTGGATCCTAGCCCAGGACGAAGCTTGACATGACGTTTCAATTAGATGTTTTCATCACACATCATGCATTCAATGGTAGCTTATTGAATACATTACATTATGTCAGCGAATAAGGAACCAGGGCGGCTGCATGCCCTTTGCACCCAAGGTGTGCAGAGTCTGAGGCTGTCTGATCTGGGGAGGTCCCATTCTTATTTTGGGGGTGCAGAGCTTTTGAAGCATCATCAATATTTGCTGTTGGCTTCGCAAAGGAGGACCTGGGACCCAGCTCCAGCCTCCCAGGGAAAGCTTGACAGCAAACCCTCAAGATGGGTCTGCCACTCCCCTTGCATGCCATACAATTTTGGGGTGGAGGAAGACCCTTGCTTAGGGCGGCGGTCCAGTCTGGAAGAGAGGGACGTGTCGTTCTGGGCAGGGCGACCCAGTATCCAGCAGCAGGGTGATTCCACCTGTCTCTTCCCTTTGACGCAGCTGGAGTTGGCCACAGCCAAGAACGACATGAACCGGCACCTCCACGAGTACATGGAGATGTGTAGCATGAAGCGTGGGCTGGACGTGCAAATGGAGACCTGTCGCCGGCTCATCACCCAGTCCGGGGACAGGTGAGCGCCAGGACCTGCCGACGGCTCCTGGCTCTGCATCCGAGGAGGGAGGTTGGTGGGTCTCAGGTGTGGGAAGGGCATCAGGATCCAGGGTTGGAGCCACAGAGGTTTGGGGGGAGGGGGGCTCTTTTCCCTGCCGTGGGAGGGGGAGTGTGTGTGTCGGGGGAGGGGAGGGGGTGGCTCTGTCGGGGTCGGATTCTGAGTGATTGGCTGTAAACCCCCCTCCTTGCAGACTTGCAGGCGTTGTGTTTCGTGCCATGTGTGTCTAGAAGGTCATTGCGGTTTTGACAGACGCAATCGCTGTCGCAAGAGAACCTCCACCGGACTAAAGAGACGTCGCCGACCGGCTGGGCTTTTTGCACACTAGCTTTATGGGACTGTGAATTCAGTGCGGCGCTGGGCTTGGGGGGGGAATGTTCCCACACAAACCCCCCCCCCCCGTCCTCACGCTTGCAAGACACTTTCCCCCAGATACTTCCTGGCTCTCCTGGTGCTCCCGCGCGCCCTTTGACAAGTAAGCCTTACGCACCAACGCCATTCACTGCTTCCACGACAATTCTTAGGCCCCGTCCTCATCTGCCGGCGTCCGCCTCACCCAGTTTGCCTTGTAACCGGCGCCCGCCAATCCCTCCCTACTTCCCCACGCCCCCTCCCCGTGCCCGTGTGACCCCCGCCCTTTTTTTCTTTCAGAAAGTCTCCGGCTTTCACTCCGGTACCGAGCAGTGAATCGGCCTCAAACGAGGAGGCGGAGGAGTCCGATCGTGACCTCCGGAGTGACGCTTCCATAAGATAATGGGGGGGAGAGGCTGTGCCCCTTTCCTCTGCATCGCCCCCTGCTGGCCCAGGAGGTGTGGCGGTGGGGGGGAGCCATGTCCCAACCATGGCCTTCACGTAGAGTTCCGCCACTGAGTCCCTCCACACCCGGAGGTGGAGCTAGACAGATGCCCCTCGAGGGAGTCTGGTGTCCTGAGTCTTCTCCCATCTGAACACCTCCTTTCCCTGCTCTCCCCATCCCGCCCCCTGCCTTTTGTGGGCCTTATGGGGGGGGGAGACGGTACGTCCGCCTTAACTGCAGCTGAGAACCTCCTGGGGGGGGGCCTAATGAATGCCCCCCTCCCTCCCCTTAGTATACGTGACTGTCCTCCTCATGTGCCAAGAAGCGGCACCAGGCCAAAAAAACCCCCTGAACCTCCTGTTGGTGCCAGCCGGACTCTCTGTGTGGCTCTCCTCGCTCACGGAACACGTCTTTCGTCCCTGAATTGTACAAGATAGCGAGAGCCTCTCCATCTGGGGAAGAAGACCAGGCTTTTGCCGCCTCCGCCACCGCCACTTGCCCCAGCTCTGTCCTTTGCCTTTTTGCTTAGTTCTTTGTCTGTGGCACAAACGTCGTCTGTGATGTGCTATGTCTGGAAACGAACCAATAAAATGGGTCACTTCCTTTTCTACAGCTTTGGTCCTGGCCGTTTTGTTTCCGCAGACTCGTTCGGGGGGGTGTGGGTTGTTGTGTTCGCGGAACACTTGGGGGGGGGGGGGGGGGAGACGTGACGCTGACCAAGAGGCTCTTGGAGCAGGTATTAAAAAGTCAGGTCCAACAATGTGTTCCGTTTTCCCTGGATCCATGTGATCAAGATCTGTGCCTGGAGCTCTGTGCTCGATTTCCAGACACTTTCCCCCTTTCTTTGCATCACACGGGTGCAGGAAGGCCAAATTCAGGTGGCCCACGGGGAGAGATATTAGGCGACTCCCTGTGTCATTTTCCGAATCTGCAGTGACCTTGGGGGGACCACCGTTTGCCCTGCTAGGGAAATGTGTGTGTACCCTATGGAGCCCCCCCACAATGCAATAGTGCCTCTCCTGGACACTTTCAGGTTGAGGAAATGAGAGGGGTGGGATGGCTAATGCCCCTTCTCTTTGCATGCTGCGGTTCTGGTCTGAATCAAGGCCTGTGGGCCTGGGGTTGACATCCCCAGGAGGGACTGTTCCAAGTGTAGGCAAAATTTCTCCGGCGATCCAGAGAAACACACGCATGGATTTAGGCCCTGAGCCGGACACTGTTCTGTACGAAGCAGTGCTGCCACCTGGATCTACTGGAGCATGCATGCAATCCTCACGATGCGGAGAGGACAGACCAAGCTTGTTGCTTGTTGCTGGCGATGGTAATAATAATTATCATATGGCAGTGTGTGTAGTATAGCCAAAAGATCCTAAGATTGTCTAGGAGCCAGAAGGTCTAGCTCTCTCAGTGTTATACACCACTAGGTGGTGACCTAGACTTGTTTTTAAGGCAAGAGACATTTCAGAGGCAGTATTCCATTGCCTGCCTCTGCATAACGCCCATCCAAATACTAGCCAGGGTCGGCCCTGCTTAGCTTCCAAGATCTGATGAGATCGGGCTACCCTGGGCTATCCAGGTCAGGGCGCTGGATATGGTGGTCTTACTACAATTGTAGCAGTGACTCCTCATGTGGTTTTGACAGCACAACAAACTGAAGAGTCAAAAGGGACCAAAAGATGCCAAAAAAGATACCCATCCCAAGATATTGGTGGAGCGTGTGTAAGCAGACTGTGGTGACCAGTGTTCCCTCTAAGCTGAGTTAGTGTGAGCTAGGTCACAGTTTTTTAGCCTCGGGCCCACACATTTTTGTCTTGGCTTAGGAAGGATGGCTCCACATAGAGCAAACTGATTTATGCAGTAGCCAAACCGCTCACTCACAACTTTAATGCCAGCAGCTCACAAAGTGGATTTTTTTGCTCACAAGCAGTGGTTCCCTCTAAGCTGAGTTAGTGTGAGCTAGGTCACAGTTTTTTAGCCTCGGGCCCACACATTTTTGTCTTGGCTTAGGAAGGATGGCTTCACATAGAGCAAACTTATGCAGTAGCCAAACCGCTCACTCACAACTTTAATGCCAGCAGCTCACAAAGTGGATTTTTTGCTTACAAGCAGTGGTTCCCTCTAAGCTGAGTTAGTGTGAGCTAGCTCAGTTTTTTAACCTCCGGCTCACACATTTGTGTCTTCGCTTGGGAAGGATGGCTCCAGAGCAACCTGATTTATGCAGAAGCCGAATCGCTCACTCACAACTTTAACGTCGATAGCTCACAAAGTAGTTTTTGCTCACAAGACTCCACAGCTTAGAGGGAACATTGCGTCACAAGACTCCACAGCGTAGAGGAACCATTGGTGGTGACCCTGTAGGGTTTTCAAGGTCAGACAGGGTTTGCCACGGCCTGCCTCTGCATAGCAACCTTCACTTTCCTTGATGACTATCTCCCATCCAAGTACTAACAAGGGCTGACCCCGCTTACCTTACAGAATGAGACTGGACTAGCCTGGCCTATCCACGTCAGGTTGAGCGTTTGCCATGCCCCCAGAAATGTCAGTTCTTCCAACTCCCGGTTTCATAGATGGGCCCAGTACTTGTATGATTTTTTAAAAATTTATCCTTAACATGCATTTACTCCAGAGAGGTCAGGGTGGTGTATATTGTTCTGTGCTCAGTTTATCCTCATAACAACCCTGTGAGGTAGGCTAGGCTGAGAGGGGGCTTTCCCGCATGCTTGACTTACTCCTGATTTTCTTGGCAGTCGGTCCATAAGCATCGGAATCAATTTAGGCACAGTTCTTCCGCCTGTCTGCCCTCTCTCTGCATTTTTACAGTTGTGGAATCCGTTTATTTTCTTCCACGCAGGACTTAAATAATCAGCTTCTAAGGAGCTCAGTAGGTAATATGTTGTTCCCAAATTTATCCTCAGAATAGCCCTATGAGTTAGCTTAGCCCAAATTTGATCCAAGGACAGTCAGTGAGTTTAAAGGCAGTATAAAGCCGGTGTAAGGTAGAGACATCACCCTGCCAACAAAGGTCCGCATGGTCAAAGCAATGGTATTCCTAGTAGTCATGTATGGCTGCGAGACTTGGACTAGAAGGAAGGCCGAGCGCCGAAGAATAGATGCTTTTGAATTATGGTGCTGGAGAAGACTCTTGAGAGTCCCTTGGACTGCAAGATCAAATCAGTCAATCCTAAAAAAAATCAACCCTGACTGTTCCCTGGAAGGCCAGATAATGAAATTGAAGCTCAAATACTTTGGCCACCAAATGAGAAGGGAGCACTCACTGGAGAAGACCCTGCTGCTGGGAAAGACTGAAGGTCAAAGAAGACGGGAACGGCAAAGGATGAGATGGTTAGACAGTGTTACCGATGCAACGAACATGAAATTGAGCCAACTTCAGAGGACGGCGGAAGACCTGGCGTGATCTGGTCCATGGGGTCGTGGAGAGTCGGACTCGGCTGTGCAACTGAACAACGAAGGGATTTAGAGTCGCCAAGATCCTAGCTGGCTGCCCCTGGTTCTCTAGATGAGTAACTATCAAACATCAACCTCCCAAGCAGGGAGCATCCCTGACAGGTGTTTGTCCATCCACTGCTTAAAGGCTGCCAGCGAGGGGAAGCTCACCCCCTCCCTAGGCCACTTGATTTCTAGGTTCCTGAGCTTTTAGGAGGCCTTTCACACTGTGAGGGAAGAAGCAACTGCCCTTCTCAAATTTGAGAGGGGTCTGACAATATGGAGCTCCCACCTACAATGACTCCCGGTTTCATAGCTAGCCCAAATACTGGGGCACATTTTCCTGAATCTGCTACGTTGTTCCACTGTGCCTTCCTTGGTTCAGTTGTCTCTCTTAGAGGAAAGAAACATTAAAGGACGAAATGTTTCCTTGGCTTCAATGCAATTTCACATGTAAAGGCAAAGCACAGGTGAGTTCATGTACGCTTTCTCCCTTAAGAAGCCATGTGCAGATTTGTTGAAGTGTATCCAAAACTCAAGCAGTGTCGGCTTGCAAATGTTGTGTCCTATAAGAACATAATCTCAGTTGCTATTCCTGGTGCCAGATACACCTAGAGACAACCACTTGCTTGCCTAGGTATTTGAAATAAGAATCAGGGTTCATGTCCTCTTTAACGTTCCCTCTAAGCTATAGAGTTCTGTGAGCAAAAATTCTACTTTGTGAGCTACTGACATTAAAGTTGTGAGCAGGTGATTTGGCTACTGCATAAATTAGTTTGCTCTGGAGCCCTCCTTCCTGAGCTAAGACAAAAATCTGTGAGCTGGAGGCTAAAAAACTGTGAGCTAGCTCACACTAACTCAGCTTAGAGGGAACACTCCCACAGAATGCACTCTAGTTCCTATAACATTGCTATCTCCTCCATGACAGTGCAAATAAAGGGAGGGGGCGTTAGTTCCCCAGCAAACCAACATCCTTCCTGAGAGCCACTATTTTTCATTGTACCACTTGCTGTGACCAACACGCAGTATGGAGAAAACAAGATCAGTCAGCAACGAGAATGACTAAAGTTAAGCCCTGTGCCTTCTCAGCCACATACCTTGAGAGATTTACCAAACGTCATTTAAACAAACCTTTCCGCTCTTGTCATGATCCTGGGCCTATAGTGGCATGGCCTACAGCCTCTAGAGAGGCCTAATGACTCCAGGGAAGCCTGTATTGGAGTAGCTATCAGGGCCTACATTTCCCAGGTTCCCTCTGGACCCTGTGATTGGTAAACAGGATTTTGGAAGGAAAACTTAAAGCCCATAAAAGCTCTGTTGGGAGGACTCCATTCTTCTCCCATGCCCCCTTCCCAAACAAATCCCAAAAGAGCCAAGCATGAGAAACAAGTGATAACTAGTGATGACTTTTATTGAGAGAGGAGGAGGTGTTACAGAAACAGTCAAGTTTCTTCCAGCCTCTCGACTTCCTCAGAGGCCGATGGAACAGAGAATGCCTCTAACTGCAAGATACAGAGCTGAGTTGTGAGAAGAAAACAGGGCTGACGAGGGAGGGGATGCTTCCAGTGAAGCATTAACCCCCCCCCCCCCCCCCCCCGGACAGAGCACAAGCTAGTCCATATTCACTCCTTTGACGCCATGTGAACCAGCAAGTCGACCACACGGTTGCTGTAGCCGTACTCATTGTCATACCTAAAGAAGGGGGGGGGGGGAGAGAGAAAGAACATACCAGGAATCAGAATGTGCAGAACAGCCCCTGGAAACCTCTGCAAGTCAAGACAAGATTTCTATTCTGAAGCGTTTGGGCAAGGAAAACAAGCCTCAAAGGATATTTTAAGTAGGACAATACCGTCACTGCTCCTACAGACACAGTTGCTATGGCTAAAATAATAAACTCATTCCCCACCACCACTTTAAGTGACCCCCCCCCCCAAAAAAAACAAAATCTTACCAGGAGACCAGCTTGACAAAGTGGTCGTTGAGGGCAATACCAGCAGCAGCATCAAAGATGGAGGAATGGCAATCGCCGTTGAAGTCAGAGGACACAACCTTTGAGAGGGGAGAAAAACAAGGTTACCTGACAGGCCCGAGCATTAAAAGTGGGGAGGTATGGGCGGTCAACACCTTCCACCTCCCACCACCAATTGCCTGCGAGTAAGTTTATAGATGCAGCAATCACCCATGTGTGCCCATTGTTTTAAGGCCAAAAGAACAGATCCTCTACCTGCCTATGCTAATACAACTATTCTCGACAAAACTGTTGGCAGTACTTTTTGTAGCACAGTCACTACTCAAGAGGAGAAACTGCTGCAAGTTGCATCTATACCGGGGTCTCCTCTATCACTTGCCAAGTGCTTTTAGGAAGTCAGCAGGGCCATGTCGGACTTTTCCCCAGCAAGGTTTCTGATTGGCTGTGCTGATCTTTTAAATAAATGTTGCTTTGGCAGCAGCTGCCGCCACAACACAACGATCTGCACTGAGAGCTGAAGCAAAGCTGAGAGCACCATTGTGTGGTGGGCCCCGCCTCCTGCAGCAACTGTTTTGTGGCAGCCATTTTGTTGTTTTGCCCCACCGTGCTGTGTCAGAATTCCAAGTGTGCCCACAGGCTCAAAAAGGTTGGGGACCCTGATTTATATACCCT